AGCCCCTGGAAAAGGCAAAGGATGGGTCCAGACACCTCTATTTGGGCATAAAGACTGATTATATGTTCTACTCCCTGATGGACCCCCTCATAAATCCCCTTAAGCAATGAAGGCAGACTCTTTCAGAAGAAATCACAGAATCAACCCTGCTGTAGAAGCTGTCAATAACCATTTTCATCACTATATGGTGTTTAAGCCTCAGAATTTGAAATAGTAAAAGAAAATTAGCACTAAATGCAAATACTGTGTTTAACTTCTTACAAATTACATTCTCTTTTATTACCATAGAGTCAGACTTAAAGACAACCATGACTTTGAGTATTGAAGAAATATAGAAGAAAGAAAAAAATGAGGTGTTATATTGGTAGATTATAATTAAGGTTTTTATATAATTTGGTTATGTCACTGATTTTTGATAAATGGGTTGAAGAATATCAAAGATGAGTAAATGATCTGACAATAATAGCTACCAGCTCCTAGGAGTTAATTAATTCTCTAAATGTATTGAGTGCTAAACAAGTAAAATTATGATGACATATGAGATTCCATTTGAAGCATACAGTTGTGATTTGGGGCACATTTTAAAAGTAAATTTTAGAACAACGACATTATAATTATTTAATACGCAATTAATCTTAATGCTTCACTGGGATAATGGTAGACATGGTATCATGGAACTTGTTTATGACACCAGACCCCATTAACAGCCACTCTGGGTTTCTCAAACATCATTGCTTGTGACTGAGATTTAAATAAGAGGGCTATAGAAGAAAAATAATTAAGAACAAAAACTAGTTCTACCCACTACTATCATTCCTTGTTCAACCTTTCAGTTTATCCTTTTATTTTTATCTTCCAACTATAGACTGATGACAAAAGGTGTGAAAGATGGAAAAAATCTTACTACTTTTAGCTATTGCTTTATCAAAGGTAAGCAATACTTGTAAGGAATGTAAGAAAAAGCAATATAGAATTCCATACCTTGATCAAAATTGGCTAAGAGGTACAAAAAAATGGAATTATTTTGCTGAAATTAACATTTATATTGTTTAAACTATTTATGAGAGTAGTTTAAATATTTTCTATTATAGATCAATATAATGTTATTGATAAATAAAAGATAACAAATTATTCCCATTATACTGTGGTAAAGGTTATTACATTTTTAGCAAATCTAACTATTATAGCATTAATTATCACTGTTATCAGTATTATGAACAACGTTTATACAAAAACTGCATGACAATATTTCATCTGCACTGCCCTAAGGAAATGGTTTTTATTTTATAGATCACATTGTAGCATTTTCCTGACTGACTATGATAAGTTTCACAAACTAGTATATGATTTACATATTTTATCTACATTGTTTTATTGAAATGTTCTGAAAAATATGAAGTATCATACTATCAACATATATGAACATGTAACACCTAAAATCACACAGTTTTTGTCTGTTGTATAAAAAAGGAATGACCTGATAACATAGGAATTACAGATTGAAAAAACAGGAAATTTGACTTGGAGAATGATTCTGAGAATTAAGTTCCTTTTTTTTCTTCAAGGAGTCTGAACTTCTGGGATCCTGTACTTTCTTTACCCACTTCCCACAAATAATTTTATACCTCTCTTCAGCTTTACTCTAAGAAGAGAAATCTGTAGGAAGAAATCTTGAGTTCACTGATCTTCAACTATGCTATGAAGGTCATAAAATAGAGTCAAACTTTGTGGGGAGATTTCTGATATTAGAAACGTAAGTAAAGCCTGGAACTTTAAGCACACACAAATTTTGTCTTTTTAAAACTTTACCCAAGGGTAAAATATTTAGTTTTAGTTTTTATTATGCCTGAACTGGTATATATTGTTGTTTAGTCGATAAACCATGTGTGACTCTTTTGGGAACCCATGGACTGTAGCTCACCAGGTTTCTATGGCCATGGGATTTCCCAGGCACAAATACTGGAGTAGGTTTCCATTTCCTTTTTCAGCGAATTTCCCGACCCAGGGATTGAGCTCATGTCTCCTGCACTGACAGGCAGGTTCTATATATAATATTATATATATATATGCAGGCTTCTCTAGTGGCTCAGAATTTGCCTGCAATACCAGAGACCTGGGTTCTATCTCTGGGTTGGGAATATCCCCTGGAGAAGGCAATAGCAACCCACTCCAGTATTTTGACCTGGAGAATTTCATGGAATGATGAGCCTGGCAGGCTACAGTTTATTGGTTCTCAAAGAGTTGGACACGAGTGAGCGACTAACACTTTTACTTCATATATATATATGGGACCATGCCCAGGACCATGTCACTAAACAAAAACTGAAAAATTAAAAAAAAAAAAGGAAATGAGCAAAGAGACTTAAAATGGTTACTTTATGTCAGTATGATTAAAAATGAACAGTGATTGAATATCTTACTTAAATTTGTCCGAATATCTCTTCAAATTATACCTAAAGATAAATTTATCCTGACATGATAAAGCATTATCCACACATCTGGCACACTTTCTGTGATGTGTTTTTTTAGTATATCTTTGCAACAGTATTACAATCCAACAGGTACTCCTCAACTAAAATTCCAGATGTAATGGACAGAAAAGCATCATGAGTTCTTTTACACTCTAACAATGTAGATGTAATGGACAGAAAAGCATCATGAGTTCTTTCACACTCTAACAATGTATTTGTAACTCAAGTGACACCAAAGATTACAAACACCATTATCCAAATAATAACGGGTTAGCAACAAAATTCCCTAAGATTTGCAGACACTGAAATTTCCCCAATTCTTATGTACAGGTCTAAATAAATGTCCTTATCTCTATTTTAGAGATGAGAAAACTGAGTCTCTAAGAGATAAATTTTTTTTGGGAGTCCTATTTGGTTTGACTCCAGATGTGAATACATTATCCCTCTCCCACTCCACTTTATCTACTCTTCCTTTGTTTTCTGTATGTTTAATGAGAAATACAAAGTGGTGAAAAGATTGAGGTCATCAGCAGTACACTCAGAGGACCAGGATATTAAAAGTTTTCAGTTTAAGCCTCACTGGAATGAGTGTGCTTCTATCCACAGAAATATGCTGGTGCATCATTAACTTATTTATTTGCTTTAGTTAAAACTAAGCTTAATCTTTCTCCCCAACCCAACACTCCTTCTCTCTCTCTCCATTCTTCTCTTTTTTCCCATACATAGCTGGCAAGTATTGCTTCTGTATTAAAATCAACTTAGAACAGAGGTTGAAAACATAAGTCCAATGCTATCTTTCTTTATGTTTCCTGCAGGAAAGCAGGCAGTGAAATGTAAATGGTATTTGATTATCCTTCATATAATCAAACAACCACTTTGCTCCATAGGCAGTGCACTAATTATGTAGTGATCGTATTTGACAGTCGACACTGGTATGTAGTCTTTGCGTGTTTAATTTACAGGTTGGCATTTCCACTAAGAACCTTTTTCATTTTTTAAATCTACAAAAAAGAATGCAAAATAAAGTTCTATTCTAGGTTAAGAGTTCTCTACATTAAAAAAAAAAAAAAAAAAGAGATGGAAAATCTGCCCAGTTTAGGCTTGTTTCTTTAGTTCCAACATAGCAATACTTAACTGACATGAACATTTAAATTAAGTACCTGGTGCTTTTGAATCACTTTTGTGTCCATAGATATATTTCTTCTCTCTAATTTTTAGTCCATTAGCCTATAGTTCCACTTTGTAATAGATGTCTGTGTGTGTGTGTGTGTGTGTGTGTGTTCGTGCATTTGAGCACTCAAGTCTGTCTGACTCTGTGACTCTGTGGACTCCAGCCAGCAAGGCCCCTCTGTTCATGGGATTTCCCAGGAAAGAATACTGGGGCTGCCACTTCCTCTTACTGGGATCTATCTGACTCAGGGATCAAACCCATGTCTCTTGTGTCTACTGTTTTGTCAGTTGGATTCTTTACCACTAGTGTCACCTGGGAAGCCCCTTGTAACTGATATCATACCACAAAATACTATCAAATAATAGCAATTGATAGATATCTACTGACCATATTTTATAGTGTAAAGAAAATGCAAAATAAATTAAATGATTATAAATAAAATTTAATTATATATTTTTTTGGAATACAAAAATTTCACAATGCAAGTTTTACTTTTGGCTTCATTGAAGTGAATACATAACAAAAATTATTCCATATACCTAGAAATAAGTGGGCAGAATTAAGCTCATGCTTATAAATCTCAAATTTCATTGTCCTATTCTTGTGTAATTTAATCAGAAATACTGGAAATATACATTTGCATTAAATGATAATTAATTTCTCATCAAGGTAAAGATAACTTAGCTCCCCAAATTGCAATTTAGTCTTTAAAATATACTATCACACACACACAATATCAATAAGTATTAGGTAATTTTCCCACAGAAAAATACAGTATTTCAAAAATATATTAGCAATTAAACAAAAATCAAGTCTTTGTATATTTTACATAATTATATATGACTCTTAATTTCCCATTCCTCTTATAGAAATTAAGTTAAATAACAATGCCATGTAATATGAATCTCTAAATTTTTGACAATGAGAAAACATTAGTAATATTTTATCATAAACATATTTACAACTTCTAAAGCTTATAAACCTTAACTATATATAATTTCAACATCAAATTTAAAATTGGTCAAATTTTAAATAGGTAAACCTATTTACTATAATTTAATATACTAGGGAGATATTTGTTAGAAAATGGTGAATTTCATAATTCACGAGTAATAAGAGCAACATATATGTAATTCAGTCTCACATTAACACATTGACAAGAGTAACAATGACCTTAACTAGCCTATGACAAATCAAATCCTGTGAAAGCTAATAGGGCTGTATGGGAATGTTTATATATACAGAGAGAGAAATAATATATTAGAGAAAGAATATATTTTGCTTTTCCCAATTTAAACAACCACAGAGCTTTAAATGGAGTAAGATGGTATGAGCAATCTTTACCCCAAAGCACTCACCTACTGTCAGCTGTCCAGTTAACTGCCCCATGTGATTTCTTGCATTCACTGTTACATTCCTGTCAGACTGTAAGACCAGTGGACTATCCTGGGAAACATGTATAAAATAAAGAAATCAAATAAAAAATAGAAATATAGTCAAGATTTTATATATAAAATTATATTGCACTTGTTCGGGTATTATCGAAATTATATTTTTTTGTTTTATATTAAAGCAGCTCTTTTAACACCCCAAACACTTTGAAAAATACAAAATAATAAGGGTGCTTCATAATAACTATTTGACATAATAGGGATGTTTCCATTTTGATAAATAGGAATTAACTACTGGGTGCAAACATTTCCAACACTACTGATTATCGTACATCACTGTTGTAGTAACTTCTCTTTTTCTCTCCCTTGCATTGGCATAGATCTATGCCTTCCATTGGCATGGATACCTGCCTTTGGAGAGATTTTAAACTCTATAGAAATGGGGAAGTCCCTTTTTAAGCTGAACTTGCAAATTTCAGATCTAAGCTTAAATGTTTCCTCCTTGAAAGTGCCTCCCCTGATCACTGTAACTACAGATTCATTCAATCCTCAAACTCCCAATCTCCATTTATTTTGTTCAGAGCACTTACCCCAAGACACATTTATTTTGCTAATTTATGTGTTTACTTGTTTTTAATTTGTTTCTGTCACAAGAGGAAATGTCCATGGGACAAGAACCATAGCAGTCACGTTGGCAAAGTTTAGTCCCATTATCTGGCATACTGCTGAAGGAAAGCATTCACTAAATGTTTACTGAACGGACAAACAAATCATCATAATAAAATTGATATTACCTTATGTATCTAGCTCACTTATGAATTATTTTTAAATCATAAGATGATTTAAGAAAGGAGGTATATAGAATAAGGGAATGTAAGATAGCTTATCTTTTAGCATAAATAATCTTGCTTAGATGTTTACTTTTATCACAATTTAGCACTCAACAGTAAAATAATTTATTTGAAGGACAATATCAGTGTTTTAGAAATCTATTTATTAGGCTATTGCCACTGCCTCAGACAAGTAACTAACAACTGACTACCCTCATATTTTTATGATCTAAAACAAGCACGGTGATCATTTACAAATAGTTCATTTATTTATTCATGAGCAAAACTATTTCAATAATAATGAGAATATATTAAGTACACGCTTGGGACATTTCAGGGATCAAAACAAAAAGCAATACCTGTCCTCATGGAGCCTGTACCCAAGATATTGAAACTCTATGAAAATCTCTCCCAACGTCATCCTTAACATGTAAGTGGTTTGTCATCTCTATGTTAATGTAAATAAAATTTTTTCATACATGTATCATATAAAAACTCTTTTGAGAACAAAATTTGAAATTTGTGATTTGAATATACATAAGATTTTATATATTTTTTTCTAAAGCTATTTTTGCCCCTTCTGACTAGATGCAAAGCACTAAGGAAAGATACACAAACACACACTCACGCATACGAATTTTCTTTTAAAAGTGGACTTTGTTAGTATGTCTAAACTAAGGCTTAATTTCTAAAAGTAATTTTCTACATTTTCAAGAACAGATGTGATCTCAAATGTGAGGCATAGTTGTACAAAACAATGCCAATTTCATCCTGTCTCATCACAACTCATTTATTTTTGGCACAAATCAAAAGTGTGTTATCTGTAGTTAAAAATAAATCTAGTCCTTTTTGCATAGGTGTTTCTATGCTGCAGACATTCATTTTTGAAAATGTATGAAATATATTTAATTAAGTCCATCATTCCTTTCAAAGGATATGTTCAAATTCTGTTAAGAATATGGTTGTGGAGTAAGGACTGTTTGCAAATAATTATGCCCAGTAAGGAAACTGCACAAAAAGTATGGCTTACTAAAGCATAAAAATATTTTATTTTAAACAGGCAGAACTAAATATATGTTACCTATGTTTTTAAGAAAGGAAATTAATTTGAATGTCAGAAAGAGCAGAAGCCTATAAAGCACCTTGCAGTTCAAAACATTGTAAAAATACGTTAGCTGCATTTTCATATATTTTAATATTTTTATTATATAATATATATGACTATTAGGATTTTTAAAAATTGATGACACTATGTGCTCTTATTTGAATTACTAAACATAAATTTCTGTGATCTATAGCATAAGAGCATAATCATTAGAATATACAAGGACTATGTAAGTATATTAAAATAGATTTTTTTATTAAATATTTTAAGATGAGAGAAAAGTTAATTTTAAAAAGGCAAGCATTTAAGTTGATTTAACAGAGAAAGAGATTTGGGTTAGAATTGAAAGTTTAATCATTGCATCTCTTTGTTTACAACGTATCAATCTTCTCTTACTCTAACCACGGAGATCCAATTGAGGTTCTATCCCTGGCATTCTTTCCTTTTCATGATACGATTCCCACCAAACTTCCCCTCTGAATTAAAATTTTATATCTGGATTAAAATTTTACTATAATAAAAACAGGAATCTTTTCACTGACTATACTATAAACATATAGCTATTAGAGGTCATGAACAATTCTCCACAGGTATTCAGGTGGATATCGGTATGATAAGTTATACAGATTTATTAAAATGCGATCAGGTGAAACTAATCAACATTGAGTAATATTTTTCACAGACAAAATGCAATGCATGTAAGAGCATTGTTTTTATTGACAAGTCACACTGTCATTTCTATGTTATATATTACCCCAATGACAACTTTTGGGATTAGAACCATGGCTTATGCCTCTTAGGTCCACAGCATGACCTTTTACACAATAAACACTCTGTATATTAATTACAACACAATTACTTAAAATATACACATGTGATTAAAATATATATGATAAGACTAATAGCAACTATTTCAACAAATCTTAATTTATAAATCTGATTACAAACACATTCTTAGATGAAAATTAGTATCAAGAAGTTACTTTTTTATCAAATTTGACATTTATTGTGCTCATTTTCCCAAAGGTCTCCATATAAGAAAATAACTTCCACTAATAAATCATTGTTTTTCACTCTTTTAAAACAGTCCCTCTTCATGATCTTTTATATTATAATTCTGTGCTCCGAATCTTTGAAAGCTAGTGTCTAGTTTCAGATATTAAAAAATATATAGCAATATCCCTATTGCTTATTCTTGCTGAGAACATGAAGGGGGGGGAAATAATACAGTGGTATTAACTCTCAAATAGGAATAAGACAGACAAGTCTATCAGGGTAAAAAGTTCCATAGGTGCTATATTATTTTGCATGGTACATTAATATAAATATCTCTTTTGGAGAAAGAACAATTTCTTCATTGAAGTCAACTATTTTCCACCAAACCCAGCAAATCTCCCATAGCAGGTATTTCATAGTTCTCTGGAACTGACCTGCATCTTTGCTGTGATGCTAAGAAATATACTTTCCTCCTTATGCTTCTCTTCAGACACAGCAGGTAGGAAATCCAGGGGAAAGGCAACGGTCCCATTAAGAGGGCCTGAGAACCCTCACTTAACGATTCTTTTACATCCACATTTTTCATGACAAGGGCCTGCTTGTCACCTTGTTAATGGTCACAGGGAAATAATGCACTATGTTCTCATTTCAATGCTTTTGCTATGATCTATGCAAGTGACTAAGGGAAAAATGATTCTATTCTTATTTCTACTGTGTTCACCTTTGTTTATCATAAATATTTACTAAGGGCCTATGATATGTCCAGCTCTTTGCTGTGTATAAAACAGAAACAGAGGAGACAAACCTTCTTCTCTTATGGAGTTCATTATCTAGGAAGTCAGACAAACAATAAACCCAGTATATAAAAAACGGAGAATGTTACGAGAAACAAGCTGTTGCGACAGAGACTTCTCTAATAAAAAGTACCAGTTCTACTAGTGAGAAGATGCACATGTAAGAGGATGTGTGTACACCAGGCACTTCAGCTTCTGATATTCATTCTCTCACGGTTTCAACTATTAAACTGTAGCAGAAAAGAGTACTAGGAAAAGCAATTAACATTTACTGGCAATTAGTCAATGCTGGACATGCATGTAAAGTTCTAAATACTTTACCAGTATGAGCTTACCTCCTTATGAAGCTTAAAGTAAAATTCACCCATGAAAGAGTCAAAAAATAAAGTGCGTGTAAGACAGTGAACCCTGACTGAATTCAAATAGTGAGACTGCCAAACTCTGGCTTCTTGACTAGGCAAGCCACTCAGCATCTCTGTATCATGACTTCCTCATCAGTAAACAGGGTAATAATACTTAATCTGTGGGCTTCTCATAAGGAATTAATGAGACAAAATAAAAATGATTAAATCAGTGCCTATTAGCCTTTGCTAAGGGCACTCAGAGCTTACTTTTATTATTTATTCCACATTGTAATTACAGTACTCAACTAATAATGGTATTATTTATTATCATTCTTATTTTATGGATGAAGAAACTTCAGCAAGGAGAGTATGTCACTTGCTTTAAATCATGCAGCTAATAAATAACAGAAAGTATTTGAAGCCAGTTATCTGGGTATAGAATCTCATGTGTCAACTACTATAATACTGTGTTTCTGGTGGGTGATAACAGTCTAGGCTTTCTAAAATGCAAATAAGTATCTGAAAATAAATATTAAAATTAATGGAAAAATATATTTTAAAATTCCTTTAAACATTTCGGTCTCTTCAGTAAATATCTGGAACATATACAGTCATAAATTGTAAGATCCAACCTCACATTGCCATAGTCTATGCTTCAGTGAGTCTGGTTCATTTTTAAAATCTTGTTTTCTCAGGTTCCAGAGGAAGAGCAATAATTTCTGAACTGTCCTCTGCACACACATTTTAAAATATATCACTTATGAGAGTTTCCCTACTTTAAGTTCTAAAAGAGAACATAGAACTAAGTGTCCATATCGTTCAATGTAGATGGCACAAATTCGATATCTCATTTCTTGAGTTTATACAGTTTTATCAGGTAAGTTTTCTTATCTTCTCTGATAGAAATAATTATAATAAACCTATATTACCCCCAATTCTCTATCTTCCTCTTCCTTAATATCAAATCAGTGAGATCAGATGTGTTT